TAGACTACATTCGTGACTCAAACAACCCCCGTCACACCTATCACGGCCAATTCGAAAAGAACCTCCACACCAAACCATGACCTAAGTCACAAACACTGACCTCCTAAGGTCCTACCGAAACCCTCACTCGCACACTTGACCTCCATGGTCACCAAAACCCACACATCAATGCATGAAACTCACACACAACAAGGGCACCATGCCATGAAATATGAACCCGCTCTAAAGTTGTGCTCTAAGCACCGCACAAAATGTAATAAGAAAATCAAAATGACTACACACCAGGTAGCTCAATCCACGAGCTAAAATCCAAGCAATTCGTTCGATAAGAACTGGTACCCAAACAACCCTGGAGCAACTGAGCTCCTCTCCTACTCAGGTCAAAACTCACATAATCATCCTATGCTTGACCGTATAAACACATAAGAAAATAGGTATATACACAAGACATACTTATATATATACACAATAATCGAAGCATAACCCTTGACATAACCATGTCCTATCACATAAGTTTAACCAATGAACCCATTAAATTATTATGTGAAATTAAATATTCCGTTCATCCTCATCATCATCTCATATAACACACACTTGCACAACTCGTGCTCAACTGTCCGTCACATTACAATGCACCACTTACATGCCATAACCCATATTTACAGCTCACCATCTTATCACGTATAACATGCTTTCAATCAATAATACATAAACATTTTAGCCATGTAACACATATTTTAACATTTAAGCATATAAGCATGTCAACACTTAACAAGGACGCATGTCTCTTAAAACCGTAAACACAAAAGCAACAAAGCAAATAATCAGTTATACATGCTTTTCAACAATGAAGCACCTTAACACATAAGCATATAAACATGCAATTCAACTTCTCATGCAATCCTAGGTAGGCCTCTACCCATCGTCCTAATGGTATTCGAACCATTGCTCTGATACCAAATTTGTAACGACCCGAACCCATGGGTTCGAATCGCTAACCGAGTCCTTACCCAAATCCGAGGTCAACTAAGGACACTACCGTCCTTTCCTATGTCAGTACATATTATACGTGTCATTCTAGGGTTTATAATAATAATAAAAAAAGTAATAATAATAATAATTAAATGAGATCATAATTACAAGGTATGTCAAAACAGTCCACTAACCCATTAAGACCTGTGGAGGAGCGTCGTCCGCCACTTCCCTCCCGTATCCTGAAAAATGTTAAATATATGAGATGAACAAATTGCTTAGTAGGTGGTGCCTAAGACACACCTCTTGTGACCCCATGAATCCAAATAAGGAATAGGAAAAAGAACCGAGATCATGTCATTACAATATCAACAACAATAATCCAAGTCGTAACAACCATGCCATACTATGGAATGCAATGTCATGTGTATTACTCCCCATTTCGAAACATTTCCGTTTCAACTTCCAAACCGTTAGTGTAATCCGACCCAATGCACCTCCAAAGCATCACGAAAGGAGGATTGGCCAACCATCCACAACCACAAGGCACCTCCAAAGCGTCGCATCCGGCCTAGTTTGCTCAACCATACTCCCCTCTAAACTACACTAACACCATGGACCACTAAGCGCCTCCTAGGCGTTCGGTTTTCGCTTAGAAAAACTTTTTCCCAAAAATAATTCCATTTGTTTTTAAAACAAACTTTTCCCTTTACTTTCCCAATGACAATGCATGAATTATGCAATTCCTTCAATGCCATGACAACATAGAATTTCATACATATTATCCGCATCATTTAAGCATGATTTAAAACATGAATTTTCACACAATACCGCATTCTCATATTTCCAAATCATGACATTTTACATATTTTTAATTTGCAAATCCAACAATTAAATTCTACACATTCCATCAACGTCATATTCATATTTTGAGAAGAAATTCTAAATTTATTTCTACAACTAATAATCCCAATTTTACATTTATCTTTTTACAACCAATTTTTCATTTATCTACACCAATTAACATGCTTTCATTTAACAATTTCTAGTAAGTTACTAACACCATAGGCATGAGAAATTAATGCGTAAACATGCTTTCCACATAGTAAGTTTTGAACAAGTTATCAAGCACACAAGTATATAAAACCAACATTTAAGCATATTTTTCACACAAATTTACTTATACACATAATCATGAATTTCATATACAAAACCAAATTATTTTAGAAGCATTCATCTCAAATTAAGCATACTTAGCTATAATTAACAAAGAATAATTCACAAGGGAGCAAGAATCTCATGGATTAGGAACCCCTACCTCAAATTGTAGAAAAACGCTCAAAATGGTCTCAAATTCGAAATCCTAGGGCAGGCCAAAAGTTGAAATTGTTTGTGTAGACGTGAAGATCTCGCCGAACTCTTCGATTTGCCACAAACGGCACCCAAAAATTCTCACAAATGAGGGAGGAATTGAAGCTTGAAATTGTGGAGAAAGGAAGAAGAAAAAAGAAAAAAAAACGAGAGGAAAGAGTGCATTGCCGGGAAAGAGAGGAAACGAGACTAAAAAAAAAATTGTGGCCTTAAGCCTTTTAAGTGCATTAGTGGTAGGTCCCACTTTCACTTTGACTTTGCTTCTTTCGTATTCTACCACATACACTACCCATACACACCATAAATACATACATACGTGTATATATATATATATACACACACATTAATATATATCATAAACATTAGAGGAATGAGAATTTTTGGCATCCTAAACCTAAAGCGAAAACTGTAAGCAAGTCACCAACATCTTAACTTTTATCATCACACTTTTTTTTTTTTTTTTTTTTTTTTTCCTTTTTTTTAAAGTTACTAATCAAATCTTTTTTTTTTTTTACACGTCGCTTGACAAACTTGTCGTTTACACGCACGTATTTTCATCACTTCCTTATATTTGCACGAGTTGACACATAATAGTTTTCTCTCCCATCCAAACACCACTTAAACTACTAAAATAATTATACACACTAAAGCACAACAATTACAAGGACACGCGGACAATAAAATTAACACAAATGATACACCACACCAATCCAAAAACGCATCAAGAGCCTAGACATTGTATCATATATTACACTATTATCAATTTTTTATTATTATTATTATTATTTTCTCAAATCTTAGTAAACATAATGAATGTATGATAATGAAAATCAAATTTTTTTTATTTTTATTTTTATACAAAAGCAAGGTTTAAAAAAAAAAAAAAAAAAAAAAAAAACAACCTTTTCAGTTAATACTTAATGTTTTTAGTGACTATAATGGCATTTTTATTTCATGTCGTGAAGTGAAGTCGATCATATTCGAAAAATGATGTCTTCGAATTGGAGTTAGAGAAAGGTGTGCTCTCTAATCTCTCTCTAGATCAGATGGCCTGGCCAACATTCAAGTAACTACATCACCTCATGAATTTGGCCACAACCACTTAACCTGCGTTACATCTTCCTCCCTGTCCTTGGAAAAATGGTGGAATAAAAAAAAGAAGAGAAAATGTCTACATAATGGTGTTAACCATCAAGTTTGATTACCTATAATTGAAACTTTCTTCGCTAGTTTCTTATTTTGGTCTTTGCTCTCTTTTGTTGTGATTTGTTTTTCTCCCTCTAAGATCCTATCTATTTTTTTGCATTTTCAATCTCTAAAGTACTTTCATTATTTTTTATTAATGCGTTTTAATATATAGAGTGAGAGAATAAGCCAAGAAATGTTTTTCAATTGACTGAGGTGGTTTGGTACGTACTTTCGTTATGGGGATCCATGGCTGGGGACCTTGTGAGCAGAACTTCTATAAACACTTCTGGCGTATCAAATTGGCTTCCAAAAATTTGGGAGCACTAGGGACCTTCTTGATGACGGTCCCCATCTACGGCATGTATGACGTTTATGTTGGTGCAGCAGCAGATACCATGCTTGTAATAAAGATTGCTCTGATACCAATTATCAGTTCCATCTTTTAGATTGTTTTGTTATAAAATGCACTTAAAAGAGACCAACAGTATATGGTGGTCTTCATTTCAAATTTTTTATTTTTTATTTTTCCTTTTATCCTTCAAAAGATTTTGGTATGAAAAGATGTATTTTTTGGAAGCTAACTGAAGCTGATGGAACGTGTTATTCAGTCTCCAAATGGAGCTTCATTCTGAGATACTCATCGAGATGAAGATACCCATCTGGAAAAAGAAACTGCCTAAAATAATTTCATGGAAGTCTTTCTGTTGAAAACGAGTCTCAGGAATTCAAGAAACGCCTTATTGCACGCTAATTGCCTCAACCTTAAGGGCCCGTTTGGCATGCGTTTTGTTTTTGACTAAAACAGAAATAGTGTTTTTGCTGTAAGAGTGTTTTAGAAAAAAAAAAAAAAAATCAGAAGCACGTTTAGGAACAATGTTTTGCTGTTGAAATGTCAAAAACAGAAACATCCAAAACATGTTTGGTAGGTCATGCGTTTCAAGAATTTTGAAAACAAAATATGTTTGGTCACTCTAATTGTTGTCAAAAAAAATAAAACAGAAACAAAAAACATGTTTGGTTATCATTGTTTTTAATTTCTTTTTATAAATTTTAAGTATATTTATAAATTTATTTCTATATAAATAATCGTCATTTTTTTAATAGATATGGAGAAATTTGAATACACAAACATATATATATATATATATATATATATAACATTTGTAACTTCTTTTTATACAAACTTGAACTCAATGTCACATTTTATGCCATGGTAAATTTATATAAATAGTCAATAAATTTTATAATTTATTTACAAAAATGTCTAGAAAATACATTTTAATAATTCAAATATTATCAATATTTTTTCATATATAACTATATAATAAGTGGCTATAAAAGCCCTAAAAAAATTTGCAATAACCTATTTATAAGTTGTTTGCAATAACCTACTTTAATTTTGTTATCCTATTACCTGTATAGTCCAACACATTCAAAATAAAAACAAATCCAACTGCAAGCATAAGTGGAATAGAGTGTATACCATTTACAAGTGCTTAAATATTCAACCAACAAATTAAACAAGTTTAAGTTTTACATAAAATGTTTTGGAACAAAGCATAACAATACATAGTTGGGACTAAAAATTGATAATATGTTCATAAAGTAGATGGCAATGGCAACAACACATCATCTTCATAACAGCACAAGTCACCTTCAAGAGAGCATCAACACACTTCATATCTGCAATGGTAGCATTTAAGTTTAAATATATTAATAATAATAGTAGCAAGTAATAGTAACAACAAAAAAGATATATATTACATATATAAATATTACAAGCCCACAATAGCAACAAATATATTACATATAAAAGAAAAAACATACCATCACTTTCAGGAGGATCGATCAAGAGTGCCCAAGAGAATTCCAGATTCGGTTAGCAATAGTATTACGCAACTAATCCATTTCTCGAAGCTGAGCCGGAGGCACATGCTCAACTACTCACCGTTTTCACCATCACTTTGAGGAGGGAAAGAAAACAGTCTGTGTGATACCATAGGGAAAGAAAACAAAATTAAAAATTAAAAAATGAAAGACAGCTAACCAGAACATTGATTTAAAGACATCTTCCAAGGGAGTGGGTGTTCTTGGCAAGAAATCATCCTGGGTAAGATTAAGTTGGCATGGTCAGTTCATTACATTGGAGTGACTCCACCAAATTTATATACTGATAGTGAAATGTAGGTATTTTCAAGACATAAACAACATATCAGCTAGGTCAAATAAGTTTTTTTCCATCATATGTCATACACTCTCTATTGCTTTCTCTTAAACAGTTACTCAATAATATTAATCAATTATTCAATAAAATATGCTTAATAATCATCACATTCCACCAAATTATATATCTATCAGTTGGTCAACAACCATTGATGCAACAGTCAAAATCAGCTTAACAAACCAAACACAACTCATTGTCCACAGGACCACAGACCATAGCTTTTCTTGAACAAAAGATTTAACGGATGGACGTTTTCCTAAAGCTAACATGGTCAGGTTAGAAAAATTCTGGAACTAACTTTTTCTTTTTATTTTGTATGTAAATGAATATGTCAATTTATATTAGGGCTAGGCTAATTAGCTAATGTACAAAAAAAAAAAAAAAATGGTTAAAAAAAAGCCTCAACATTCATATTATCCAAAATTATGAAGTACACAGAACATATGAATTATCCTGAACATTTAAAGAGTTGAAATACATAAACCCCTTCAACACAGAGAATAAAACTCAGACAAGAATCTTAATGAGACACATTATTGATAATCTATTTTCAAACCGAGATGGTTCGTGCTACTGCACATGTATAATTACCAAGAAATCATCCAACCACATGAACTCATTTCCTTGAACTTCTTGAGGTTCACAACTGTATTTTGAGGTTACTAAACAACCTCCAAAGGAATCTATCAAATGAAAGAAGCTAGCAATCCCAAATTGAGATCACATACCCACTTCCAAAATCATGCATAATAAGTAAGTATACATATATACACACGTACATAGGATAGGGAGGGGGGAACAACAGATCCAATCATCGCACTCGGAAATATGGAATACACCATGACTCCTCAAAATCAACATATCCAACATTGCAATATGTTGCAAATACGCAATGAATTTTATCAGGAACCAGAAGCAATTGAATCAAACAACTCAAAAATATACATTTATAAGCAAATATAAACAGAATAAAACCAATTTCATAATAACTTCTCATTTGATTGATTCAAACAAACTGAAACCAGAAAAACCAAATCAAATTGGGGGCATTCAAATTCCTCACCTGTAAGATCACAGAGTCTATAACATCGGCATACTTCAGAGCTAAATTGAGCGACACATAATCGCACATGACTTCTCGAAATCCCGTCGAGCAAGTCACCGTGGTTCACCACGATCATCGTCAAGATGGCGGCAACACCAGACCCCAAAGAATGTCCGGCAAAAATCATCTTATACGATGACTCATTTTCGAGCCACAATCAATCGCTTCAGATTCTCCGATTCCTGCCTTATTCTTCGACGAAGACAACAAAAAAGCAAAGATCGATGGTCGGTAGGGTTGGCAACGGGGGCGGGTTTGGGCGGGTGTACCCTCCCCCACCCCCGCAACTGTTTAAAAACCCCACCCCCGTCCCCGCCCAAAATCGCAAAAATGGGGGAACTTTCCATCCTATCCCCGCCCCCATTTAACATTTTTACCCTCACGGGTACCCACCCCGCCCCGTTTAAGACCAAAAATTCTCTTTTATTTACTTTTTTTTTTATCAACTAAAATTATATAGTTATTGAAAATATTCATAAAAAAAAAAAAAAAAAAGTATGGACAATAAAAAGTTTAACATAAAATTTAACATTAAAAACATTCGATAATAGCAATTTAGCAAAAGTATTAATATACCAAAATGAGACAAGCCAAATTACATTGTTCCCCGTTTACCTATCCAATGAAATAAGGGTACTTAAGTAATTTACCTATCCAAACGGGACTAGGCGGGGTGGGGCGACCTACCCCCGCACCGAAACCTTGCGGGTTTTCATTACATCAAACCATCTCCACCCAAATAAGCCTAACGGTCCCCCAAAATCGCCAAAAATGGAGCTGGGTGGGGCGGGGCTAATTGCCATCCCTAGTGGTCGGTTTGGTGGATTTCAGCCAAACAAGAACACACAGCAGAGTCGCCACAAAATCGCCTCCGCTCGAGCTCTCTAGAAAACCCTATAAAATGACTGAAATGTTTTAAGCATGGTTTACATACGTGTTGCAAGTCTGGTTTAAGTGAGTGTTTTTTACTTCCTCTGCTACAGTGATTATTTGGGCCAACAGTACCCAAAACACGTTAAAACACCAAAATGGTGTTTCAACTTTTGGCCCAAAAATTGAATCTGTTTTGACACTATTAGCAACAAAGCAGACCGAACCAAACATGTTTTAGGCTAAAAAATTACTGTTGTAGCACGCCTACAACAAAAACACATGAAGCAAAACAGATACCAAACAGGGCCTAAATGAAATGGAGCTTTCAAAAACATATTGGTGTCCTAAAATTGTCTGCAGCAGTAATGAAGTGCCATTGCAGAAAATAATCAATAGAAATCGATGATTTTCGGTTTCTATTTTTATAGTGATTTACCATATTTTCTATCTAGGAAGCACGAGCCAGAAAGTTGTGGTGAAGCTGGTGAAGCTATTGGTTCTTCTTCGTGTTCCCTGGAGTCTAGCACTTGGACAAGGCTTCAGATATCAGCCTAACTTTTCATGCACTATATTAATTTCTTCTGTTGTCAGTCATGCTTCACCCATTTCACGAGTTCTTATTTTTTTCCAGGTTTAAGTGCATAAATTTGGATGGAAATGGGGTTCTCACATCCACCGAGATGCAATTCTTTTACGAGGAACAGTTGCATCGAATGGAATGCATGGCCCAAGAACCTGTTCTGTTTGAGGACATATTGTGTCAGATAGTTGATATGATCTCACCAGAGGTTGAAAATTACTTCTTTAATGATACCTTCAATTTACTTCTCTTTCATTCTGTTTAGATATTATCCCTTCACTGGCAATGACACCATCTTGCTTGCAGAGGGAAGATTACATCACGCTGCATGACTTTAAAGGATGCAAACTTTCAGCAAATGCTTTCAATATTCTTTTCAATCTTAATAAATTTGTGGCTTTTGAAACTCGTGATCCATTTCTCATTCACCAGGTACATTAGACATTTTATTAGTGTCCTGTAGATTTTGCATGGCCACACATTGTGAGTTGCAACATGGATGGTTATATATCTGGAAATATAACAGTCGTTGGCATTTGTTTTATAAGCAAGAACGAGAAGATCCAACTTTGACAGAGTGGGATCGCTTTGCACATAGATTATATATTAGGCTTTCGATGGAAGAAAATGGTGAAGATGTATCTAATGGAAGTGCAGAAGTTTGGGATGAATCACTTGAGGCACCCTTTTGAGTTCAAGGAGGTGAGTTTAATGTGGAGGTTGTCTTGATAGTAGTCAGGAGATGCATTACAGTCCCCTTGAGAGTACTGAATGTAGTATTGACCTTTATGTTCTATATATGCAGTTAGCTTTTGGAGAACTAAGCTCTGGTGAGCCTGTTGTGTCTCTGCAGCTGCCTATGGATGCTTGCAATGCTTCCTTGAGCTCGTCTTAGAATGAAGACACATCATTTCCTAGCGATTCTCCTTGAATGAAACTCATCAGGGTTGCAAACCTCATCATTGATAAATTTGAAGCCTGGTCATGTAGTTCTGATACGCAATTGTCTGGAAGGCTATATGCTTACCATTGCACAATTGAAGCGAGCTGCACACCGAAGTCCTATAGTGAACCTCTAATTGGGAATACCAAAAGGACCATTTGCAAAGGAAAGGTTATATTGCTGACCGATACTTCATCACTATTCAGGTAACAATAGTCCATAAATGGTGGTTTTGAATGCTTTGTTTCAGAAGAATCGGCCTGGTGCGTAATTGCTTTCTTTCCTTCCTCTGATCTCCATGGTAAGATGGAAAATATGGCTTGGCGTGTTTGTCTTGTAAGCCCTTACTGGTGCACTTTGCTTGGATGATACCGTCTTTTTAACTCTCCCAACAAAAGAGATATATATTTGTTCTGGTTTCTGTTTGCTGATTATATGCTCTTCAATTTGTTGTTTATGATGAGAGAGAAAAAAGTGTGGGGAATATCCCAATCCTTTGTTTGAGATAGAGGAAAATCTTGGAAAAAGAAAGAATTATTCAAAAATTTCCAAACACTTCGTGATCGGGATATATATATATAAGGTTTTCAAATTTTATTTTCTTATTTGGCTCACAAAGTGGTCTGAGGTCGCTAACCAATGAACGGCTGACCTAGAACGCGGGCGTGCCCGAGTCCTAATGGACTCGAATATTTCTTACCAAACTATTCCTATCGGGTCGGGTCACCGACCTAAGGTGATTCAGGCGAAAGTTGGAGAGTAGGAATGACCCTCTCCTTAAGGTTGCTATTGCCTTTAAGAAAGGACTTTAAACACTCAAGATAAACATGAATTAGAAGCAACTTAACTAGACAATAAATATACCTGAATTTGCAAACCTTTCTTCATTGATCTTGACTGATTACAATGATGAATGAATTACAAACTCTTGATTGAAATGGAAAATAAAGTATTAAATGCTGGAAGATGAACTAAGTACTAAACTAATAGTGTTAAGCTAAACTTGCTGAAATAAAAGCTAAGTGCTAAACTGAGCTTGATGAAATAAAAGCTAAGTGCTAAATGATAAGAATGCTAAAGGTTGAACTTTAGAAATGGTCTTAGACCTCTTCCTTGTGATGCTTGAGTGGGTATTTATAGAGGCTTCCACCTGGTGTTGTCCCTTTCAACCGTTTCTCTAGAAATTGATTGGTTGTAAGCCGAAAGTGACTTTTCCTAACCACCTTGCTGAGTTGGTAAGGTTGACTAACTTGCACATCCC